GTGAATTTTCAAAACTCCCTCCCCTGTTCTGGATTTTAAACCGAGTGACTGTGCCATTTTATTTATTTCTCCTAAATGGCCATGCATCTTTCAAAACTGTTTTAACTGAGTGATCTAGACCCGGTTTAGATGTTATGGTATTAATTTGGGGTCATTTGCATGAGTAGTTTAAGAGGAATTAATTTTTAAAGCTTCTGCATTGAATCTGTCCGCATTTGCCTTAAGTCCATCATGCCTAGTTACTTTCTAGTCTTGCATTTAGCATGCATTGGTGTTAATTGATCGATTAGGGTTTAGCAAGCTGTGCCCTCTCTCCCTCTGATTTAAAACGAAAAATTTTCACGTAAATTTATATCCACAAAAATCATGTTTTCAAAAGTCTTCCGCTGAGATTACATATAATAGGGGTAATCGTAGAGAGGGGTGTCACAGCAGACGTGGTATCAGAGCAACGATCCCGGAATTCTCCATACGACCTAAATACCTTCACGATTCTCAAAGCACGACTCCAACTGAACACTCGGGCAGGTATATGTTTATGTGAATTTTATGGCTAATGTGAATTGTTTGTATATGTTTAAGTATTAGAATGTCGGGAGCAAGAACTCGAGCTCAAAATGCCGCTAACGATCCTCACAATCAATCTCGTACCATCCAAGACCTCACCGCCCTCGTCCGAGAACAAAATGAACAAATCAACCGTCTTATTAACCTTCAAAACCAAAACCCTCCTCCACCTCCTCCTCCTCCCCAACCTAGAAATACAGCCCCACAAGCCACCTACGAGCGATTTTTGAAAATGCATCCTACCGAATTCCACGGCGGCCCTAGTCCAACTGTTGCCGAAGAATGGATCAAATCCCTCGAAGTTATTTTCGAGTACATGGTGATGAACGATAGCGACCGAATCCATTGCGCACTATTCTTGTTGAAAAACGAAGCCCGAAATTGGTGGGAAGGCGCAAAGAGTGGAATCGATCTAGCTAATACCACTTGGGAAGCTTTCAAAGTTCTTTTCTTCGAAAAGTTCTTTTCCAAAAATGTTCGAGCACAAAAGCTTAAGGAGTTTCTCGAACTCAAACAAGGAAACCTAACCGTTGCCGAATTCACACGCCGTTTCGAGCAAGGAAGCCTCTACGCACCTTTCATATCCAAAGACGACACCGAAAAGATGAATCACTACCTAAGAGGCCTCAACCCGATAATCAAGCGCGACGTTCGACTAACCTCTGCCTCTACTTTCCGCGGAGTAGTGGACAAAGCCTTGGAAGCCGAACAAGACGAGATGGAAATCCGACAATGGAGACCTCCTCACGATGCCTCTTCTCGACCATGGAAGAAACCGAACCTCAACAACTCCAAAGGAAAGCAACCGATCAACCGAGCAACCATGACCCCGAGCAACAAGCCCTTTTGCCCCAAATGCAAGCGAGAACACTCAGGCGATTGTGTTGCCGGAACCAACCACTGTTTTCGATGCAAGAAGCCCGGACACATGGTCCGAGACTGCCCTATCGCCCCGAGACAAGTGCCGGGACGAGTATTCGCCATGACAAGAGACCAAGCCGAAGCTGACCCGTCAATGATCGCAGGTACCGTTAATGTGTATAATAATTTTGTGTATGCCCTCATCGACTCCGGATCAACTACTCATTCATCTCAAGTACCCTCGTTGCCGAACTCCGCCTAGTCCGCAGCCAAGCCGATGCCTTGTTTAGCATACTTATTCCTTCCGGTGATGAACTTAAATCAAATTTCATCATCAAAGATTGCCCTATTCAGATTCATAACCAAACCCTAGCCTCCGATCTAATCATCCTACCCATTAAACATTTCGAAATAATCCTCGGAATGGATTGGTTATCAAAATTCGACGCCCAAATCAATTGCGCCCACAAAACCGTTCGTTTCTCCTTACCGAATGGGAGTTCTCTCGAATTCCGAAGCTCGTACAATCCGTCGATTCCTATCATTTCCGCCATCAAAGCGAGCAAACTTATTCAAAAAGGGCATCTATGTCATTTGGTCGACATAGTGGAAACTCTCAACGAAGATAAAGCCGACATTTCCAAAGTGCCAACCGTTTGCGAATTTCCCGATGTCTTTCCCGAAGATCTCCCCGGTCTTCCGCCCGATCGTGAAATCGAATTCGAAATTCATTTGATTCCCGGTTCCGCTCCTATCTCGAAGGCACCTTATCGCATGGCGCCGTTAGAGCTAAAGGAACTCAAGGACCAAATTCAAGATCTCATCGACAAGAAGTTCATCCGCCCTAGTTTTTCCCCATGGGGTGCTCCGGTACTCTTCGTGAAAAAGAAAGACGGAAGCCTCCGAATGTGTATCGACTACCGAGAACTCAACAAGGTCACCGTCAAAAACAAGTATCCATTGCCACGAATTGACGACCTTTTCGATCAACTTCAAGGCTCCACGGTCTATTCCAAAATCGACCTTCGTTCCGGATATCATCAATTGAAGATCAAGAAGGAAGATATTCCGAAAACCGCGTTTCGGACTCGCTACGGCCATTACGAATTTGTAGTGATGTCGTTTGGTCTAACCAACGCCCCAGCCGCTTTCATGGATCTCATGAATCGAATCTTCCGCAAATATCTCGATCAATTTGTGATCGTATTCATCGACGATATCTTGGTGTATTCAAGAAATGATGAAGAACATCGGAATCATTTGGAAATGGTGCTCCAAACCCTCCGAGAGAACCAACTCTATGCGAAGTTTTCCAAATGCGAGTTTTGGTTAAGACAAGTCCGCTTTCTTGGTCACGTAATTTCCAAGGAAGGCATAGCCGTCGATCCAAGCAAAATTGAAGCCGTTTGTAATTGGTCAATCCCTCGTAATGTCGGAGAAATCCGAAGTTTCCTCGGCCTCGCAGGCTACTACCGACGGTTCGTTCCGAACTTTTCCAAGAGAGCCGCTCCACTCTCTCGTTTGACCCGAAAGGAAGTCAAGTATCAATGGACTCCCGAATGCGAGTCTAGTTTCCAAGAACTCAAGAAGCGATTAACCTCAGCACCAATCCTCGCTCTACCGGATAAGACCGGAAACTATGTGGTCTATAGTGACGCCTCCAAGCACGGGCTCGGAGCCGTCCTAATGCAAAACGGGAATGTAATTGCCTATGCCTCTAGACAATTAAAAGACTACGAGAATAATTACCCGACGCACGACTTGGAACTCGCGGCAGTCGTGTTCGCCCTCAAAATTTGGAGACATTACCTTTACGGCGAAAAATGTTCGATCTTCACCGACCACAAAAGTCTCAAGTACTTCTTTACTCAAAAAGAACTCAATATGAGGCAAAGAAGATGGCTTGAATTAGTCAAGGACTATGATTGCGAAATCCTTTACCATCCCGGTAAAGCCAACGTTGTCGCCGACGCTCTTAGCCGAAAATCCATGTCCGCCTTGATCATTAAACCGCCGCTCGAATCAACTATCAAGTCTGCTCAAGACCATGATGATCAACTTGTCAAAATCCGAGAAGGCTTAGCAACCGGTCAAAATCCAAATTTCTCAATAACCGACGGCAAAATCTTGAAATTTCAAGGGAATCATGCGATTCAGAAAACGAGAAAAGTTAAGCCCTCGATTCATTGGACCCTTCGAAATACTCGACCGAGTTAGTGGCCAAGCCTATCGCCTCGCCCTACCGCCTCAACTATCCAAGATCCACAGTGTCTTTCACGTCTCCATGCTCCGAAAATATATTCCCAACCCTAACCACATCCTTGAAACCGAACCCCTCGATTTATGCCCGAACCTATCCTTTACCGAAGAACCCTCCCAAATATTAGACCGAAAAGTTAAGAAACTCCGAAACAAAGAAATTCGCCTAGCCAAAATCCTTTGGAAAAACCATTCTCCGGATGAATCAACGTGGGAACTTGAGGATGAGATTGTGAGTCGTTATCCGGAACTAATTGAAAAAGGTACAAATTTTGGGGACAAAATTTTTTTAAGGGGGGAAGATTGTAACACCCCGCATTTTCGGTAAAATAATTTTTACCACCTTTAAGTGCATATTTGTGAAATTAGAATTTATAATAATTCTTGCATGATTAGTATTTACGTGAATTAGGTAATTATTATGTGAATTATGTGATTATGTGAAATTATGTGATTATGTGATTATGTGAATTATGTGCTTAGGGAAATATTTCGAAATAGTATGTCGAAATAAATTATTTTCATGAATTAGGATTTTTGCATATGAATTTAAATGAGCATTTCATCATATTTATGCATGCACAAAATTTTAGAAAAAAAAAAATGAATTTTCTCATGCATTTTAGGATTTTTAATTTATTTAGAAAATTTGAAAATCCTCCCCACATTTCTTGAATTTTCGGACACCACACATACACACACATGATTTTTAAATTGCATATTAATTAGTATTAAACATGCATTAGTGAGGTTGTACTTTGAGCATAGAAAGAAATACCCAAGCCTAGCCCCCTACTTTATAGACACTACTAAAATAATGGGTTATTAGGACGCCCCAAACCGTCACAACAAGCGGCTATTGTGACGCTTTATCTATTGTGACGCCTAACCAAAGCGTCACATAGGTGGCCGTGGTAATAGGTTATTGTGACGGCAAAGAAGCGTCCCAATAGCTTTGCTCTCAGGACGCTTCCACTCGTCTCTAGTGTGTATTTCTTGTGACGCTTTTTGTTGTCACGTTTTCCTCTCTTCTATATTAACCACCTGCTGTTATTTTTATATCTCGATTTATATTAATTTGAAAGACACAAGTATTAAAAGTATAATATCATTACAACATGCCAAAAATAGTGCAACTGAACTCTTTAAATTTCATTTAGTGTTATAATCTCACAATCATTCATGTGATACAACAAATTAGTGTTATAATCTCACAATCATTCATGTGATACAACAAATTACATAAGAGGTGTAATTCAATAAAAAAATCTTCTATTTACAGAAACACTATCAATCAATTCATTGTATCTCCAGAAGACTTGGAACCATCTACTGCAACTTGTCAAAATACTCCACCTCCTGCAAGTACATCGAAATACCTGAAATACCTGCTCATCAATCATGTTTGAGTACTAAAAAAGTTAGTTTTGTGAGGAAATACAACATTAACAGTATCAATTATGAAATCAACACTAATAATATAAAAAAATGAATAATATGCAATTGATTAAGTGAGTTTAATAGGGAAAAATTATACTTGTGTAGTCAAGTGGAAGATGAGATAAAAATTGATACTGTAAACAAGGAATTAGGATTATCCTAAATGCAAGTGAACTTCTTAAGCAAATAATTAACCTTCACAACCAATCATCTCTTGAACCGAGAGCAATTGTCTTCATCATTGACAAATCAAAATGATATATGTTTCACAGTAGAATGCAAATAAGTAATCACTCAAAGTTTAGCTACTAATATGATTTTGAACATTTTAATTTAGAATATTTGTTAAATGGATGCTTAATCAGCTAAGCCTTCACCTCTTATCCCATCATATGACTTAAATAAGTATACAGTTCACCGTCATACTACGTACTTATTATTGAAATCATGACAAGAAGAAAAAAATTAAATACAAAAAACCATACTAGTCCAACAGGAGTAACAAGATTGTAGAAAGATACCAGAGTTCTACTCAATGAAGAGCAACGTAGGATAGCCACTGGAAAGTAAGGCAAATCAAGTGTTGCTTCCACTCCTTCACCACTCCATACGCTAGGGACTGCACACTACAAATATTTTAGAAGTGATATATAGAACATATGAGTGATAAAAGTGACCAGGGCATTTGGGACCTACAAGATATGTGTTAATCCCCGAATTCTCTAACAATTACTAAATAGCTATCAAACAGTTGAAAAATCTATAAAAATACTAATATAACATTGGTTACCCAGGCTGAACACACCCTAATACTCCAACCATTACTAAAATAAATATCAAATAACACAAAAGACAGTATAAATAAAAACCAGTCAAGAATCTCTTGATTACCATGTGTAACAAAAATCATAATCCCACAAAACAATTTCTTTCAATAGCCATCCTGTTTCCAGCTATTAAAATGAAACAAACTAATAATTAACAAAATAAAAACTACTTCTTGACAGCAAAAACAGAAATGCCATAAGCCAATTGTTGTGTATTCTCATAAAATATAATATAATTATCCTTCTCCAAAAATAAATTTCAATTAGGTGAAATATTCGCCAGCAAATCATTTAGAAATCAAATTTACCTTGAGAACCGCTTAGAAGAATCGCGCATGAGAACAATCATAACATGGAACCCTAGGTAAAATATGACGATGTATTATCTCGCCGCTGACCCTCGCTGCCACCAAGTTGCAATCAATAAATAGATCGGAAGTATAATCCGTTTTCATAGAAAAATAATCAAAATTTGATTAAACCACAACTCCACGAACCTGTTGTTGCCTAACAAATTAAAAAAAGAAATAAAAAAAAAACCTTATTCGTTTACGAAATAGTAGTTGAATCTGCCGTTGTGGAGGAAAACGAAAATTGCCTTGAAGATTGAGTAGACCACGGAATATTGAAGCTATGGTTGTGGAGAAAAACAAAAATTGCATTGAAAATTGAATACCCTGCTTCGCTGCACGGTGAGAAAAGGGAAATGCCGAAAGGGAAGAACGGCAGAGATTTTAGCCCACAAAATAATTTGTTATGTTAAAGATAAATTATTTAATGAATTATTATTATTATATAATGTTTACCCATATATTAAGACGGCTTATAAATAGCGTCTTAATACAATGAATATGTTACGATGCTCGCCTAAAAAGCGCCACAAAATGCATTTATAAAAATAAAAATAAAACGGAAAAATAGCTATACAAACCTAGTGAAGCGCTTCTACACAAAAGCGTCTCAATAAAGTACTTATTGCGACCAATTTTAAAAGCTGTCATTAAAATGCGTCATTAAGCCGTCATTAAAAGCTGGTTTTCTAGTAGTGAGACTAGGCATGCTTTTCACTCCACTTTAAGTAAGACCAAAGGTCTTTCTTCTTCTCCCTTCCTTCTTCATTTCGGCAGCCACAACCCCCACCACCATAGCCACCACCTTCTCAAGCTTGAACCACCCAAGAACCACCACCACTCCTATTTTCGAAAATTGCAAAATCACCCCCAACCCACCTAAAGATTTAATTGCCAAGAAGCCCCTCCTCAATACTTACCCATTAAGGTTGCAAGCCTCCCCACTCTATAAATAGAACCCATTACCAAGTGTTTTCTCATCTCCCCACTACAATCCTAAGAAATCTCTCTTCTCTTCTTTCTTCTTCCATTTTCGAAATTAGTAGTAGAAGAAGCTCAAAATATTTTCTTCAAGAGATTCTTGAATTTGAATGTAAGAGCTTCATCTCCTCTTTTATTCGAAAATTTCCTCTTCCTTCTTCATATTGGTTTGTAATCTAACTCTTAATCTCTTCTTGTATTAGAGAGAAAAGAGCTAACAAATCCTTCCCCTAAAGAGTATAGGTGAGAATTCTTGAATTCTTGCTCAAACCTACAACACCACTAGTATTTTCGGTTTTTATGTATTTTTATGTGATTTATTTGTTGATTCTTGCATATTATTTGATTATATGGTTTAGATGATGATTGCATGTTAGTGTTTTGAAAAGATAACCTTGTTCTTGACATTCTATGATTTTTCGAAAATTTGGGGAAAAATATTTTAAATGGCTTATTTGGTTTAATTAGTGCCTTGCATGTGTTGATCTAGTGTTTGATTGTTGAATTTTGGAAAGAAAATGAATTTTTGGCCTAGCCATGAAACTTTCGAAAATTTGGGGAAAAATGTTTTAAATGGCTTATTTGGTTTAATTAGTGCCTTGCATGTGTTGATCTAGTGTTTGATTGTTGATTTGTGAAAAGAAAATGAATTTTTGACTTCACTAAGGAACTTCGAATTTTTGAGATAAAATGCTTGAAATTGCTTATGTGGTTATTTTGCGTTTTGCATGTGTTGATCTTGTGTTGATTGTTGTTTTAAGGCCTTGCATGTTAAGATTGGTGATTGATTGTTGATCTAAGGTCTTGCATGTTAAGATCTAGTGATTAATGGTTGATCTAAAGTCTTGCATGTTAAGATCTAGTGTTTTCTATAAAAAATGGTTTAAGAACTAAGAATTTGTGCTAATTTGATTTAAAATACTCTTGCATGTGAAGATCTAGTGTATTTGCTTGGATAAATGTAAAGATGGAAGTCTTGAATTTTATTCTTGTAAAAATGCTAGATCTAGTGAACTTTGATGTTAGATTGTTTTTGCATGTTAAGATTTCGGTTATTTCTATGTTTTTATGACTAAATGATTTTGTGAAACTTTATGTGTATTTTCTATGTGCTCCTATGTGCTCTTGCTTGCTTATGTGAATCATTGGGTGTGAGGATGAGAGAAAGGTAAGTAGAAGGGTGCATGTGTGGGTGCATTAAGTGTCATGAATTTTTAAAAAAGATAAAACTATGTTGGATAGTCTTTCGAGGTTACGGTAAATTTCTCGGGTACGGCGAGCCTGGTACCGTAGGGCCTAGGGGTGGTTTGATCCCACGTAGTTAGTCATGGTTCGAATTATATGGGGTTATTTACCGGTAACTTAGATTGACTCTTCCGAGGGATTCCCGACAATTTTTCATGTCATGCATGTTGCATTACGGTGTTGTTGATATAGGTGGGAAAATCTCACTCTATGGTCTTGGGATCGTAGGGTTATAAAGGTGGGAAATTCCTCCTATAATCTTCAATACGTGTCATGGCATAGGGTTATAAAGGTGGGATATTCTCACTCTATGGTCTTGGGATCATAGGGTTATAAAGGTGGGAATTATCTCACTCTATGCGTGGTGGCAATTATGTGAATGAAGAACGCCGACGAAAAAGGGAAGTATATGATTGTTTTACTTCATGTTGTATGTTCATGTATAAGATATATGTATGTATATATATATATATAGATATATGTATGCTCTATGTGCTATGTGTATTCGATATTACTTCAAGATTCTCATTGAGTTCTCAAAGACTCATATAGGTGTTGTATGTTTGTAGGTATACCCGATTTAGGGCCCGATGAGTGAAGTTGGGAATCGAGCTCGAGAATCGGAAGGAGATCGTATGGAGGGGTTGTGGATAGTGTTGTCTCTTAATTTAGTTATGTGGTTCTATTTGTATAATATGCTTGTAAAAACTTTTGATACGGTCTTAGGTATTTTCTACCGTTCGCTTCCTCCGATCGGTGGGAATTATTAAACAACGACGTGTGTAATAGTAATTAGGATTACCCTATTTTGGATAATTAATCGGTAATCCGTAGCCTTTTGTAAGCGAAAGCAAATTTTCACTATTTATATGCATGCATGCTTTCGACTAGTAATTCTTCGTGTTTTGTATCCATGTTCTAAAATTATTTTCATATAGGTTCTCTGCTTAGAAAATCATGAAATTTTAGGAGTCTCTGCATCTGTCTGTTCTCATCATATTGATAGGTCTTGTGCATGATTTGGGTAAGTATTTATTTAGTTATGATTTATTTCTCACTACTGCATTGAAACAGGGTTATTCGGGTGTTTTCTGGTATAACTGGAGTTTCACTCACTCAAATGACTTGTTTTCACTTGGAAAATGTTTTAAACTTATTTTTCTGCCTTGGGGTAAAATTTGGTAGTTTTTGGGTCAGTGAGGAATGTATTGTGAATTTTCAAAACTCCCTCCCCTGTTCTGGATTTTAAACCGAGTGACTGTGCCATTTTATTTATTTCTCCTAAATGGCCATGCATCTTTCAAAACTGTTTTAACTGAGTGATCTAGACCCGGTTTAGATGTTATGGTATTAATTTGGGGTCATTTGCATGAGTAGTTTAAGAGGAATTAATTTTTAAAGCTTCTGCATTGAATCTGTCCGCATTTGCCTTAAGTCCATCATGCCTAGTTACTTTCTAGTCTTGCATTTAGCATGCATTGGTGTTAATTGATCGATTAGGGTTTTGCAAGTTGTGCCCTCTCTCCCTCTGATTTAAAACGAAAATATTTCACGTAAATTTATATCCACAAAAATCATGTTTTCAAAAGTCTTCCGCTGAGATTACATATAATAGGGGTAATCGTAGAGAGGGGTGTCACAACCCCCTCATTATATATTTTAATTTACCATAAATTCGAATTTTAGGGATATCTCTATATTACCCTTAATTATCATTAAATCCTATTTTTCCCCTCACTTTTCTTCACCAGCCGCATCTCTCTCTTTTTCTCTCCCTCGCCACAGATCTGCACCTCCGCCACGCAGCCTCTCCCCCACCCTCGCCTCACGATCTTATATATTTTTTTTCATCCCTCTTCTTCTCTCCCAATAGCCTTTTTATGTGCGAATCCCATGGTCAAGGGCAATTATGAAGAAGACGACGAAGCTTCTTCTCCAATCCATTTCTCCGCCGTTTTTTGGGAACAACTTCCAGCGTCACATGACTCTGATCCGACGTCGACGACCTCTTAGCGTTCATGACGGTGTAACACCGGTGACGACGAGATCCAGATCGAGGCAAGCGAGATTATTTAGGTTTGTCTGTCAAATTCCGTCATTATTTAATTATTTTTATTTTGCAACTGATTGATTTTTTAGATTAATTGTTATGATGTTGTTGTCTTGATTCAATTGTCAAATTACAATATGATTCGATTTCTATCATGTCTTATTTGTTGAATAATTTTGTGATTTGAGTCTTGCGTTTGTTTAAATAGAAAATCAGCAATTTGTTGATGTTATTACATATTTTGGATATTATTGTGTGTTCTGATTTGAATTTTTATTGAATTGTTTTGTGTTTGTCTTTATGTATGAAATAGTTGCGGACATCGTGATTATTTTATGCATAGCATATTCGAAATCTACGAAGATCTGTGGAAGAAAACTCATATGATCGGAGTTGTATCTTGGCCCTATCTCTGGAAGAAAACTCATATCTCAGACATCGCAAAGTAGAAGAAAATTGGAGTTGTTTATTTTGTAGTCGATTTTGAAATTGTAGTGTTTTCGATTTTTGTAGTTGTTTTTGACAATTTGTAGTTGTTTTTGAAAAATTTTAGTTGATTTCATTGAACAACCAGATTTTATTGTTGTTTTCGAAATTTTATAGGGGATTTCAATTTTTTTTAAAGTTGATTTCTTTAATTTTTAGTTGATCTTATTTGGGAAACTTGTCATTGAAAACAACTATTTTTTGGGGTTGTTTTAGAGTTTTCTTAAAGTTGATTAGGGGAAAAAACGGGAAAAAAAAATAGTTGTTTTCGGTAAATTTATAGTTGATTATGAACCAAATAGTCAAAAAGAAAAACCAAATTTTAGTTGTTTAAGAAATATTGTAGTTGTTTTCGAAAATTTTAT